CCTGCATTTCTGTCAGCAAACCTTGATCTCGGGGTAAGACGATTGAGTGTACGTAGTTTTTGTTGCCTTTCCTCTGCATATCTGTACAGTGTGTGTGTATGTGTTGTTTGTGAGTGCTGCAGATAGCACCAATGGGTATGTCCTAAACACCCTCCACTACCGATATTGCTTATTGTCTTCTCCCCCAGACAAAAAGGGCACACGGTCATAACCGATAGAGATTTTATTGGGACAGCCATGAAGAACCGGATTGATTTGCCTGAAACGATTGGCTTCGTACATACATGTATGATGTTAAGCAACTTTCAGGGCAAGCTTTGCAGACGATGACTGAGAACGCTTTCTTCGTCGGCCGAAACCAGGACGAGGAGGAGCTGCAGCGAGATGGAATGACGCAGTATATCCAAAAGAACATCTTTCTCCACGACATTCATCGAACGATTATAGTCATCCAGCATGTCTGGTTGCTACAGATGTAACTGTAGTAGGCTTAGCAGAGCTCTCTGTGCTAACCATAATAACTGGCTTCGCACGAAGGAATTAAGGCGCATGCGCGCGTGAAAAATTCCGCGAACGCGCATAAATCTCCTTATTTCTCCTAAATGTTCGAATGCGTTTAAGCGAAGCGTTTTAGGGGGATTTAAATAGAAAACCTCCGTCTTTCGTGAGAAACCGTTATCAGATAACGCGATAAATGCGGGTAAAAGATCGAATGCGTACCACATTGAAATACGGCGACAAAATAGCGGACGCGCGCGTTCTAATGATTGGGTCGGAATTGTGTAATGAGGCAACGCCGCCAAGGAAGAAATGACGTAGAAAACGCAAAATAACGAGTGCGATGGAAATGCCAACTTTCGGTAGAAATTAACGTGTTTTTAAAAGCAATGTATTTTATGAAAAAAGTCTGATGCCGGGAAAAACAACGTTTAATAATGAACCAATTGTAAGATAGCATTCGTGAATCGATATGAGCCTCGAGCTTTCCGATCTTTAAAAGTGCGATTATGCATATAGGCTCTTTCGCTGGTTTTCGTGCGAGCCAAAGAAAAACGTATATTAGCCTTTAAAGCGTGGAAGATTCTACAAAAAACGTGAAGAAGTTACAATTAAGAGAAAACGCTGGAAAACGAAGTAAAGGCGGAGCAAATGGAGGGGGAAAATCCCGAATGATTATAGAAAAATCACCGTCAATTCCAATTATTTATTCTAACTTCAATTCTGTGAAGGTTTTCTTCCTTTTTGAATTGCGTAAATATCGCATGCGAATGCTTTTGAGTGTTTTCCATGTTGTTTTTAATCGTAGTGTATTTTCTTCGTTTCCACGAGAGATAGCCTCGTTCCACAACCGTGCGACGCACGACGTGTAACGGAGCGCGTATGCGGAAACTTTTCTCCACGTAGAAAAATTGCCGTTTGTCGCATCTCGAAACCAAATTTTCAATTTCTAGGTTACACCGTTATTTTGCACTTAACAGCTCTTTTTCACGTGTTTTAAAGTTCGATATTCACACTTCGATCTTATTACCGTTGCATTTTAACATGGCACCAGAGCCCACAAACAGTAAGCATTAGTGAAACCTCTGAAATGAGACACCGTAAGTGTGCCTTATTCAGAGGTGTCCTATATTTGGAAGTTATATGGGGCAGAACTATTTATGAGTTGTAGTAAAGTGAGTTGTAGGAGACTAAGGTGTGTTCCATGTTGCTTCCTCTGTTTGCAAAGAGTTATAGCATACTGTATATGAACTACATGTCTGTTTTCCAGTGTGTAGTTGTGTTTGCTTTCATGTTGATGACGTGTGGACATGCAGCAGGAGCCTCCTCCAAGATTTAACCGTTATGTTTATAATTTCATGTTACGGTTATTTCACGTTATTCCAGTTCTTTTTTACATTTTGTAATTTTAAATTGGGGATGCACCAATTAGATATGGCTCAATTCTGCTTTTTTAGTATTTGACTTTCGTTTTTGTGCGTTTGTCTGTATTTGCTTTTACAGTAAATGTTCTCAATATTCTCTGTTCAACGTCGTTTTTGACGGTAATCGCGAATTATCAAATCCAAATTAATTACGCACCTTTTTTTTTGTGGTTTTTGCCGTTTAACGTTTTTAACTTGCACCCATTTTTTTCAATTTCATCCGTTCACATAGATTTTGTTCGTTTATCTGTATTTACGCGTTTCCACACAATTCGAGTATTTTCACGTTTTTTCTCGTTTTTAGTTTTAACCGTTTATCTGAGCGAAATCACTTATTATCAATTGTGATGCATTGCGTTTTTCCTCGGTTTTTGCCGTTATTTGCTCCTTTAACTTTACGTATCATATCAATAGTTATTCATTTTGCATTTGAGTTCATTTTTAGTTTCTATATTCTATATTGTGTATTTGCGTTAATATGGCAGAAAAACACCGAATGCCCGTATAAAGCTGAATCTTATTTCATATTTACATTTTTCAAGGCATAAATACGTTTTTCTTTATATCAGCATATCGAATAATTTTTCCGTTGTACATTTCATTTGTATTCTCCGCGTTTGTTACACGCAGATTCGATTCTATTGTGTTTATTCGAATCATTTTTATATCTTTACGGTTTTTATCATTTGTGTATTCTTCATATCTCAATCATTTACCTGCTCCATATCAATTTTTAAGGTGGGCGTTAATTGGAAATAAGGGTGAGGGCCAATTGGCATTGTCACCTATATTTTGCGTGTGCTTATTCTCTTTTGCATTCATTTTTTGCGTTTATCTGTCCAATACCACGCTTTTTTGAGCTACAATTACGCACGTTATTCATTTTTTTTTGTAATTATAAGTTGGCATTATGGGTGGAGCGTTTTCTTAGGTCTTCCAGAAATAGCTACGAGCCATTCCTAAGGACCACACAACAACTAAACCCCCGTTTATACACCACGCGACAAAGACGATTTTATACGTGATACAAACCCTATTTATGATTTAAATGGCTAAGAAGTCTGATCACTAGCGCTTCTGACTTCCAGATCTTGTTTCCACCTGAAACAGACGGGAAAAGAGTAAACTCGACAGAGTAGATATTTTACGTACTCTTGAGTGCTGTGCACCGTAGAGGAACACACTATAGATCGCACTATATCGCAATAGTGTATTTTCTCTTCCTGTTTTACTGACCACTCAAATTCTAATGTACTATATTTTGTGAAACAGATTCTGAAAGGGGCCAAAGCTTTAGTCTTCAAAACGGGGCGCTTTACGCAGCGAAACCTCACGTTCATATACGTAATTACCTTTGGTACTGTAACAGCATCATTTCTCTCTCGATCTATAAGTCAAGAGAATAACACGAAGTGTCTTCCCCGCTACCGTGCAATAAATGTGGCGCATGCGCTCATATTCACGGTGTGTAATGGTTTTTACGCAATTCGTCACTTACTTCAATAGCATTCGCATGACGTTTCATCACAAAAACACATTGTTTCTTCCAATTGGAGCGTTTTTCTCACTGCTCAGAGTAGTGAAGTAGAAGTTTTTATACGCGCGAGCCCGAAACAACGCAGCCCCCTTTGTTCCTAGTGCTCAGCATATGCTCTTTTCTCACATCCCGGAATTTCTGGAAAATTGGTTGCGGTATCCCGGGAGGTGCACGGACCGGACGCGCGCACGTTTGGCCTGCCCGTCGCGCGTCTCTTCTTTTTCTTCTTCTTTATAACCTCCACTGTAGGGGGTGCGGGCGAAGATGAAGTGAATCAGGCTAGAGGTCGAGTGCGAGCAGATAGAATAATGGTGAACGGGGTGTCGTCCAACTGCAACCACACGGTGCAGAGACACGTGCGGAAGCAAGAGGGTGGGGCAGGGTAAATTCGTCACGTGCGGGGGCTAGGGCAGGGCAGGGCAGTTCGCTATGAGGTGGGAGGCGTCCTCAGGAGATTGTCTGCAGAAGCGACAAACGTCAGATGCTAGCCCGTAGCAGTAATTTCATCCTGCATGGGAAACCTAGGGTGACCCGCAAGTGAGGGTACGGTTTCCCGAGATGAGAAGGGAAAAAACTGGAGAAAGGAAGATGGACACATTTATCAGCATAGACAGAAAAATCAGAGATGGCGGTAATCCGCTGGATCTGGCACTTCCACTGAGCTCTGGACACTTGGCTGTTTAGTTTATAAAGTTGAAATGTGGATAGAGAACTACGAGGGGAGAGAGGGCCAGACCATCGCTTCTCAAAGACGATGCGAGGCAGAGAGTCATGGGGGACAGTGGAGAAAGAGCGACGATGAATCAGGGTACAGATATTTGCGATTCCTCGTGACTGTTGGATGGCCAGTGACTTACAGCGGGATGGGTATCCCTGTTATCGTGTGCAGGATCTTTCTGTGGGTAACATAAACTCTGCCTGTGTGAGAGACCACACTTCCCACCCGTAGATGAGAATAGGGAGGCAGTATATTTTGTACAGGCGCAGCCAGCCCGAGACACAAGGCCGTTGAGAGGAACTGCAGCGCTCTGTGGTAGGGTTAGATGAATAGGTGACAGAGCGAATAACTCCAAGGTGGTGGTAGGAGTCCTTCTCAGGAAGGCTTGCTGCTGATTCAGCAAAGATTTGGATGGCAGACTTCTGGGATTGAGTCGGTAACACCACTGAACTGAGTAAGAGAAAACTATATCGAGCATGGCCTGAAGATCAGTGCTGCTGTTGCCAGATCATCCGCGTACATGGGGCTGCCACAGTAGGTGCCGTCAATTGTAGCACCATAGCATGAGCCGGAGAGCTGGTCATTGACATAATACAAGAGAGGTGGCAGAATAGCTCCCTGTCGGGATCAACTGTAATATACGGACCACAAGCGCAACGGCTTCCGTAAGCGCCCACCATTCACACCGCGTATATACCGACGACGCCTACTAGCCCCGCCCCCATTGTAAACACGTGGTTTAGCTAGCTAGCTAAGTGTATGCTTTTGGAGCAGTGGTAGCTTTGAGAAAAGCTGGTTGAGAAAAAAAGAAAGTGAAGCTGCTGCAACTGTGGGGATGCCACGGACCATCCAAGTCACTGGGGGTAGCGGAGGGCTATATCTCGGCAGAGGTTGGTCAGGACAACCGTCGCACACGCTCCGTGTCTCTCGCGCCACATGAATTCGTCCATATAGGACGTAACCATGTCTGCGTCAACCCCCTTCATTCTCTTGAACTTCGTCTTCACACGGTTCCAGTACGACTCGACGTTCTGGGTGTGAACACCAGTCGCGGGGTCGACGAAGTTCAAAGAGTGGTTGACGGTGCCGTGTCGCTACTCTCCCTCAGTGGAGGTTACAAAGAAGAAGAAGAAGAAGAAGTTGGGTCACTGGGGCCAGCTGCTGGACCGGACCGCGTCGTCGGTACGCGGTGTGAATGGTGGGCGCTTACGGAAGCCGTTGCGCTTATGGTCCGTATATTACAGTTGATCCCCCTGTCGTACGCCTTGACTGATCTTGAATGAGCGGGAGGTGGAGGAATTCCAAAACACAGCTGAAATGAATCATCTATACCAGTTGTGCAGGAAGATCCAGATGTATCTGGGGGAATCCGAACAAGGCTAACTTGTATAGGAGACCCTCGTGCCATGACGTCTGTAAAACACCCCTATATGCTTTTGGCAGTATAATCACCTTCCGGCATACACACACGCGTGCTATACAGGGTTCCGGTGGTAGCTGCAGTATCTCCTGCGCCCCCCCACCAGACTCATTTCCTCAACCGAGCGGTAACCCGCCCCTTTCGAATTATGCGCATGCGCCGCGTCTGGTAAGTTGCTATGGGAATAAACACACAATCGTGCTCACAGGTGTAATATAGGGACACCAGCCATGGCGGTGAAAACGGACATGGAGAGAATTGGCGTATTTTCTGAAAGTGGATATACTACTATTGCTGATCCTTATGTCCCTTCATCCAGTAGTAAGTTAATGTTTCCAGGCCCTTGGCTACGTGTTAGGGATACCCCGTGTTAGTGGACATTGCTGCCCCTCACAGATAGTAGCTTTAATTAAAAGGACGCCGGTTGTACCAAAACTCTGCTTTTGAAACAACAGGTGCAGTAACGTGGGAAACAGCAAATGCCCCAGATATACAAACACAAAAAACACCTGAATAATAATTATGTGCTAGCTGTCTAGCTCTGATCTGCATTGGCCTAGTTTGGTTGTTTGATATGCTAGAGGAAAGCAAGTAGAAACAGGTAAATTTAAATTCCTGCAAATGACGCATAGAGGGATGGTATAAAAAGAATGGGAGACAATATAGGGATGGGATACATAAAGGACACCCTGACTCCATCACACAATCCCTGTATTGTTGCCTAGTGTGCTAGTGTGGCACTTGTAAACTCCGTTTGTACTCTTGGTTACTCTCTACATGACTTTTTGTATTTTCAAGCTGTAAGTCTTGACTATTGTGTGATTTATACTTCACCTAGGCAACAATATGATGGGGTTGGGGGTGTCAGTGTGCTCAAATCTGTTCATTAACCATGCTTCATGTATCCCATCCCTATCTTGTCTCCCTTCCTTTTTATACCATCCCCATATGCCTCATTCGCAGGATTTTAAATTTACTTGTCTCCTCTCATTTTTATACACTACTATGTATACAGTGGAACCCCGCTTAACGGGCACCCCTCTACAATGGACACCGCGTTATAACGGACAAACTCGCAGGTCCCGATTGTTTTATCGTAGAGTTCTGTACGTTCATAACCCCTCCAGAACGGACACCCCGCTACTCCGTATAACGGACAGTAAAACCAATCCCAAATGCTTTTCAACATAGAAAAAATCCAACGTAACAGACAGTTTGCCGCACCCCCTGCCAGCGAATACGAAGATTGGAAAAAGGTATCATACAGCCTCGGTCAGGTATCAAAGAGCGCAGCGAATGCCAGCGAATAGACGAGAGTTCTTTCGCTGGCTACAGATTTCGACAGCTAGGCAGCGTGTAAAAATTTTGAAAATATAGTTCCCTATCACGCAAGCGACGCTGATACAGACGAGCCTCTCTCTGCTCAGGAGCACGATGTTCTCTTTCCCTCTCTCTTCGACGATGAAGGGCGGGCATCTTCAGGACTGATCATGATTGCGAGAGTACGGAGCCACACGAGGGGTTACCTCGGAGCCACACACACACACGTGTATACGCACGACGACATGAGGCAGCATGTGAAAATTTTGAAATTCTTTCGGATAAAAAGAAGCGCGGAATGTTTTAGCGCGCAATAATTTCTACTATACTGTCATCATCATCATCATCATAATCATGTTGTAATCTTGTCTAGAGTGTTTCTAAGGATGTTAACAGTGAATTAGTGACATAGAATTGTATAATACTGTATAATGGACAAAATGTTGTAGCTCTAAGTTGTCCGCCTTAGAGAGGTTCCACAGTATCTCTGTGAAAGGGGTCAAGCCCCCTATAAAAATTAATAATAGAGAAAAATGCCTTTTGTTTTAATGGAAATGATGTTATACGCATACATACCAAGTTCCATGTGTGCTGCCGTTACGAAGTTTGAACAGTGAAGAAGTAAAGGCCTGAAGCTTTTTGTTGTTGTTCAAACAATACGTGTGCTGCTGAGTTAGCAGGAAATGGCGTCGCTCAGTCTCTACCATGGTGGAGCTAAAAGATCAACAGTAGAGGGACTTGCGAAACAATGAAGAAACTGTCGCTTGATGGCCGTGCATACCTCCGTTGAACCTGGAGACGTTCAGTTAAAATATCATGGCTCCAACTTGTTTGAGGCGTTTTGTACCCGTGCCATCCTTATATAGAGCATCTACCGACGCTCTAATATTATATTCATCATCTTTTCCGACTCAACACCTATAACTCAAAACTATTATATTAATAATGTACATATGTATATCCACAATCAGATGTGCATGGTGATACGGTAAACTGTTTACTGTAAATGGTGACATAGTTCAGAACCCACCTGGAGAGTAAAAACTCCCTCTTGCTCAGTAACCCTTTTTTGTGGAGATTTTCTCTGGACTTTCCTTCTTTTTGATGCCTCTTCTTCCTTCTCTTGTGCTCTCTGGAGCCCAATTGTATCTTGATTCCTGAGAAAGGCTCCGATCAAATGGAGTTGTGGCTATAGACCAACCATTCCTTCATTGAATGTGATTGTAGCAAGATTTACAGCTATGTTGACCGTTCCAGGTGAAGCAAACTCAGTTTTAGGGCAGATAGTACTATTGAAACTCTTTCGGCCTCCCTACGAGAGCCCCCAGTAGCTAAGGAAGAGGGTACATGTGCACAAACTTATGTTTGATCGACGTCATGAGTCTGTGGTGAACTGGCTGCTATTGCATGTATTGCCGGCTTCTTTGCCCTGACTAGCTGTGGTAGGACTGGCTGTAGGTACATAATTCCTGACTTTCTTTCCACCCCATGAACCGTTTAGAGCGCTTTCGATGGAGTTGTGAGCAAAACTTCCCTGGATACTTCTTGCGTAGTACAGCTGCCATTTTGACCACATGCTGAGTTCAAAATTACAGTGGAACCTAACTCAAGGGCACCGCCTCAAAATGTACTATATAACAGGAGTTTCATACTAAGAGGATTAGCATACATTTACACAGCAAAATGAAAAGCACTAAAGTGCAAACCCTCGGCGAACTGTACATGCGCGGTACCACTAATTCATGGGCTGGGCTATTACTTGTGTTTACTCGTGGTCTCTCCCACTAGTAGCTCACGACATGTGATAGCTACAGTAGTAGATAGCATGCGGGAGTCGATACACGCCCTTTGTTGTGACTTGTGCCTTCAAGATATACACAGAGTGAGTAGACCTTGTTGAGGTAAGCCTGTGCTAATTAGCATATTGGCTTGTAGACTTTGTTTTGACGCCATAACTTTAGAACGCAGTACTTTTACGAAAATCGCAATGAATAAAGTATAGCGCTGAACCTGTTGGTTTCACTTTTTGGCCGGTTTGTTGCGCGTGGTGACAGAAAACGTGGTTACAGACACACACACAGACAGAGACACAGACCAAGTACTGTAACCCTCGCTGCGCATGCGTGCCGACGGTTAATAATCCGTAACATGTGTTGTACATGTGCATGATGCGCAACATTATTAGCAGGGGTATTTTCAAGCCTAGCAAAGAGAGCAATGGGTGCTTCTCCTAAAAAATGGGTCTTTTGACTTGAAGTATCTCTTGAAAACCTGTGGAGATTTGCTGCCTTCAGTAACAGAAGGTGGTGGAGGTGGTATGGATGAATCACCAAGTTCATTCGTGTCTCTTTCTCCTCGCCCTTTCTGCATAATAGCTGCAATGTGATTATCTAAAAGTTCTGCTGTTGTGATACACCTGAATCTACGTTCACGAATGATTATATCTTCTGAAAGGTCTAATCATATGCGATCAAGGAACTCAGTTTCATTCTCTGTTCCAGGAGTAGTAACATTGTCGCCAGAATTGACGGACTCTGAAGGTGGTAGCTTGTAAGTACGTCATTTCCACGGCGAACACATGTTTGGAAACATCAACAAGCATTTTCTCTTTAATTTTTGCCTTTTACAGAGATATACGTAACAAAATGAGTAGAGACAAGTAAATTTACAATCCTGTGAATTTAAAAATGAGGTGTAAATAGGGATGGTATGTGAAGAAAGGGACACGATAGGAATGGGATACATGAAGCATGGTTAACGAGAGCGTGCTGACACCCCCGACCCCATCACACAACACCTGCATTGTTGCCTAGCGGAATAAATAGTTATGACATCTAGCTTGAAAAAAAAAAAAAGGTTATGCTACTAAGTAACCAACACTGCCACACAGTCCAAATTGAGTATTAGTTACTATGTTCGAGGGAACTACGGGATTTCAATGAACCTGAGGCATTGTAGTTTCCTGAGCGCAGGGAGGGCAACTACGCGGATGGGCCAAGGGTTCATTGAAATCCTGTAGTTCCCGAGTATGCGGAGTAACTAACATGCAGAGCCGGCAAATCCGCACACATCACAGCAGGCATTGGAATGAGCGTGAAAAGGCGATTGGTAATGGACTCGAGCGAGATTTCAGCCACCAGCGGCGAGCCAGAAATGGCAGGCGGAAGCTACAGCACTTGCTCGGTGTCCGCTACGCTTCGCGGAAAAGGGCTTCGCCCACTCTACTCGCACGTATCCACAGGCATGACATACCGCTAGGTCTAGCGTACAGGTGCTTACGTATAGCTAGTCCCAGACTTCTTGTCTCTCTGTGAAACAAAAGAAGAATTGTTGTAGACGATAAAGCTCCGAATGATGTATGTGATCTTGTCGTTTTCATGTGAAAATATTACATGAAAAACAAGGTTTACTATGGAGCGTCCCAAATACATACCAAGTACCTCGTGTGAACCAATCAGTTTGCTCGATTTAAATCCGCTGTGCACTAAGAGTGTAATGGGTTGGGGGTGTCAGCGTGCTGAAATCTGTTCGTTAACCATGCTTCATGTATCCCATCCCTATCTTCTCTTGCTTTGTTTTACTGGCGAGCAAAGCGAGGCCACCTAGTCGTGTCAACTGGCCGCTTTTCCCTTCATTCTATCTGGCGATACCACACATACCACAACATTCTACGTGACCGCAAAACACGAAACATTGAACTGCTCACGCTTGCTCGCCAACAATGCGTCACTTTTCTCTAGTGCCATCCCTATATGCCTCTTTTTAAATTCTTGATTTTTCATGTATGTGCTTGTAGTATGGACATTGTGCTGTGGGACCCTGTAATACTAGGTACATACTACCGTACTTAGTGATACACCTCTAGCTCGGCGTATTATAGAGTCTGATGTATGCAACTGTAATTGATGACATAATATTGTGTTTTCTTCCTTTCACTCATTAGATGCGTTTAATGAAGGTGCTGCAAAAGGAAAGCAGATGATAGTATCGGGAACAAAATCCAAGGCAGCATCTCAAGGTGGATATTTTGAAAGATCTTTCACTCGCATATTAGAGGTAAGTACATACAATACACGCAAAAAAAATGTCACACTACGCCCCCGTAGTACGGTGATACCGTAGCAAAATATTTCTACGGTGCTTCTACGGCGAATCTACGGTCAACCGTAGAGCACCGTAGCTGCAATACGCTGCGAGTGTGTGGCCCACAGTAAAGTAAACGGTGGCAGCTAAAGGCCTAGCGAGCAACGAGCGTTGTTTCTAAAGCTGAGAGTAAGCTATGTAAGAACACTAGTGTTGTAGTGCAGTTGTGTCTAGCATTGCTACTGCTGCTTGCTTTCACTTCTCGCTCTCCTTGCGCCCGCTGAGCGCGCTCACACGACATGCGCATGTGCGACCGCGCCCATTGAACCGCGCATCAACATGGCAAGAGCAGCCCATCAATCGCCTCACCGTGTGGATCTCCTGGCTGCAGCTAGCTAAAGCTGCATGGGGCATCGCTGCTTGGTGGAGGACTGTATCTGGGTCTTAGTAAACTACGGCGTACTTCCTACAGTGTGACCGTACTATGGTACGGTAGTGGGAACATATTTTTGGTGTGTACTGTAATATACGAAACCTTTCTAAAATCTTCAGTTTGCAAATTCTTGCAGTTGTATTTCCCATGCCTAAATGGTTGCCTTGTGTGCCACTCTTAAACTCCATATGGACCCTATAACAGTGTTACTGGAAGTGACTATTGGTCCGGCAGCCGGATGCGATTCCCGTAGCTATACAGGTCCGGCAATCCGTTGGCTATACAGCCAGTTTACCCGGAGTATCCTACTAAGCCGCCTCTGACAAAGTTTGTCTGCCTATCTCTTTCACCCGCACGGAAGAAGGAAGGCTACGCCACACTAGGTGGGTAGACAATCACTTTCGCGGTCGGTTAGAATTATAGTTGTTATGGGGAGCTGCCGAAGAAAGTTGATGCATACCAGAAAGTGCAGCTAGTAACCAACCGGGATTCGAGGCCAAGGGGTATGCTACTGGCAGGTCGGGGGGTAGTACGAGATTTCACAATCTTCGAATGATTTCGGATCAACTGGAGTGTACGGACCCGACGCGTAGCGACTTCCGGCCATGCCCAAAATCACTCCACACGATGCGCGCTTACTAATTAAGGTGACGCCTACTCACATAAGCGCACTCTACGTAACCTTGTGTGTATCTAGCTCCATGTGTGCTGATTCGACCAGCCGATAACTCAGCTCCACAGGGTGACTCCAGATGATATATCTCTTGCGTTTGTGGTAGCTTTGAGAAAAGCTGTTTAAAAGAAAAAGAAAAAAGAAAAAGTGCCGGTCAGGTCAGGGTGTATCTCAGGGCAATGTCGCGGCCGAGACTCGCGAGTGCTGTAGCTGCACTGCGGCCATGCCGCTCCCTCCACATGAACTCATCGAGCTACGAGTTCAGCATCGTCTGGTGAACCCCTTTCGTGTGTTTCAACTTCCTCTTCACGCGATTCCAATAGGATTCGATATTTTGTGTGTGGACCCTGTTGCTGGGTCCATAAAGTGGAGGGAGTGGTTCACTGTCTGGTGGTTGTTGACCGGCTGCAGCTGCTAAACCCTGTTGTAGGCTGCCCACTTGTCACTGTGAACCTCGGTCCACGGCCTGACATGGCGTCTGATGATGGGGAGGAGAGTTTGTGCAGTACGGACTGGTACAATGCACATGACCCCCAGTGCTGGAGACTGAGTGGTATCGGCAGAGGGAGGTCGGTACATACAGAGCAATCAAAAATTTAAGAGTAGGTTTAGGAGGACAAACAGAAACAGTCAACAACTCAATATCAGTTACACTATGACAGAAATCAACAGCAAAATAAAAATGCACATACATCAACACACCTCCACCATTATGATCTCTGTCACGTCTGGTAATCTGGGATCACAACTTCATTGTCCGAAATATCATTTGACAGCCAATGGAACGGCCAGGTGGAGGGCGCTTGTGGTGCAAGGCTAGGGCGAAACATGGTTCTAGCTTCCATGACGTTTGCAGCTTGGCTTGCTCCCACTTGCCATCAACAGCTAGAAGACTGGCTTTGTCATCATGGAGCAGAAACCACCAACACACTTTACCGTTAGGTATTTACTTGGTCTTCCTTCTGACTTGCACTGTACCATTGGCACATATTCTTCTAATAGCGGTACTAGCAGAGCAAATATTAAGTCCCCACACCCTCCTGGTACCCTCAACTTTGACTTTGTGCTGTGATTCCAAGGGTCATGAACCTCCCTGACTATCAAGTAAACTTTTAGCAGATCTCCTTTTTCACCATTATCATTAAAACTAGCTCTCCCGATAACCAACCAACCCCCCCCCCACCTTTACCTCCCCTACCACTTCCACCACCTCCCCGGACCCCATGCATGACCCCTCATACCTGGAACAGACTCTGTTTCAGCAACCTAGGTTCCACTGGCAGAGACACCATTGTTAGAATGTGTATCTCGAGATGTGGCCAGCCGCTGAGTACTGGAGCTTTTGGGATCATCTACCACATATTACAGCTGACCAACTTCCAGTTGCAACTCGGAGATTTTAGCTATGAGGCTCTCCACAGATTTCACATGCTCTACCTGACAGCAGAAGTAGCATTGAAAAGGGATAGATGATGTGCTGAACCAGGTGAGTGGAACACCAGCGCAATATCCATTAAACCACTGCTTACGGACCCTGTCGCAGAAGAGAGCCTGCTCCTTGCCGTCGACTATCGTCTGGTCACAAGCACCACACGTAGCAGAGGAGTTGCTTGCACCCAGGCTAGTGTTTCGCTAGCCTGTAAACCATCAGCAGTTGAATCAGAATAAGTTTTGTTATAGTGACACATTTGAATGGAGCAACGGCAATTATATTTCCACTTGTATTTATTATAGAGTTTATATTATGTCATAAGAGTCTCCTCATGCTTCTGCTTTGTCCTTGCTCGCGTGTGTCTGTTTTGTCTCTATAGTGAAATCCCAGAAGCCCTTCTCACTCTTCTTTCACCTCTTTCCTTAGTGTATGCTGTTATATTACATGCTCACTTACAGGGTGAAGCATATTCTGATCCAGTTAAACTAAGACGAAAACGAAGGTTTCAGGAGGCAAAGAAAAATTTTGGAGGGTCATGGATTCCAAGCAGCACAGGAAAACGACCGTAAGTGAGCAACACTCTGTAAAGAGTATTGTTACATGTTTTACTACGAATAGTATGCCTCTTTTTTCTATGTAGACAACAAGTGATTTCAAACTCCCTTGCAACTTCCTGTTCTTACACCTTGCCTTTCTTAGAGTTTGTAGTTAACCGTTGGCACTCATGTACAGCGAGGGTATCTGTCTGACTTTCTGTCAGTTACCTGCCACCACGAACAAAGAGAAAAATAACGATATAAAAAGGTCCAGCTCTACACTTGCTATATATAGGTTATACTGCGCGTCAATGGAAATACGCGATTTAGACGGCACGAGGGGCCCTGAGCTGTAGCTGTCTGAGCGCAGCGAAGACGCTACTAAGGGCTCCGAGGCCGTCTAAATCGTGTATTTCCATTGACAAGCAGTATAACCTGTTTAGACGGAGGCCGTGCCGGCCTTCAAAATCGTCCAGGTCCGCCTTGCCGGAGGAAGTTAAAAAGGTCTTCAGTTTAGTTTATTTTTGCATCTTAGAGAGGCCTTTCATCGAAGAAGCATCGGATATAGCGAGTTTGAAGTCGTCGCGGCGAGCTCTCAGCGACAGAGCGAGTTTCTTTGCGCGGAAGCTTGCCACACCCCCATCGAAGACGCCATTTTTTTGCGGGCGTCTCCATGGAAACACGCACTTGGAAAATACGGGATTTAGAATCCACGTTTTACGCAATCTGATTGGTCAATTTGAATCTGCCGACGTCTAAGGAATGTTATGTTGTGAAAACCAAGTAAAAAGCAAATCCCTATAATTTAACACAGGCCTTGCTTTGCGTCCCTTGAAAGCACTATAAGTTACATTCAAGAGCACGTATGAAGTCCTTCATTCTTGGTTCTGCTAGCCTCGTTCCTAGTCTCTTCCCCAGCAGCCCCACCCACAACAGGAAGGGACGTCTGGTAATTGTTGAAGCATTCCTCGGACCTAACAAATAGTTATGCTTATGTAACTTCTGTTCCAGAATTGTGCATGTTATTAGTGGGTACTTGGAAAAACTCTCTACGTGTTGCTTTCTTTACTTCTGCATGCGGTTTGCAAGTCAACTGGGTTGATACCGCACTAGTAACTGGCGTGGGACATTCGCAACAGCTGTGTTGTGTCTTTTAATGCCTAATGTGCATTACATCATCAATATGAAAAGCACTAAAATAGCAAAACCCTCGACGGAGACAGAAGCGCTTGCTAGAGAAGGGTTCAATGTAAGCAAAGTTGAGGAAGATCGACCTACACAGCCTTCTGTGAAAGCCTGCAGACAAGGTGAGCATGCTACCGGGTGAGGCACATGTTTCGCTGTGCATCTGCCATGTTTTAGCTCAACAATAGGCTTGGTAAACGTTCTCTGCGGAATTGTATCCTATGTGAACGGGATATGTTATGGAGATTATATCTCGCATGCACGAACAGATTGTATATAACAGAGGGCCTGGGAACCAAACACGCAGAAGTACGCGTATATCAGGCCCGTAGCAGGCTCTTTAGAAGTAGTCAGGTCAGGAAGTATGTGTGGTTAGTATAGTTCAGTGTGCGCACTCGTAGCACTACGCGCGCGGCCGGCCGTGGACCCATACGTACCTACGTGCGCATGCGTGTTCACTGGACGACGATATAGACGCCATGATCGATCGGAGCATAGCATCACAGCACTGCAACCAGAGAGCAAGCGTGCTTTTTCACTAAGCTAAGTTTGCTGCATGTCCGACTGCCACTCTGTCGCTCGATAAATGTGACCACACCCTTAAATTGGAGCCAGAACTGGTCCGGCCAAAACCGGACAGGCCAGACCGCTTGCTACGGCCATGCATATGTTATGGATGGGCTGGACCATTTTTACCGACTTGTGGTCTCTTACCAGGTCACTGAGAGTCGGTAACACGCTAGCTAAACTGCTAGATAACATGCGAGGGTCGATACATGCCTGCATTGCAATCTCTGATGGTTCGAAGGTATATACGCAAAGCAAGCACTTCTAGCCAGTGCTAATTTGCATATTGGCTCATTCACTTGGTTTTCACGCCGTAACTCTTGAACGCAGCATATCCCCGATGCTGAACACGAGCAATTGATGGCTCGTGAAGTAAAATGTTGCTGTTTGTTTGTTGTTTTTTTTGCTTGTCTATTGTATCGTTTACTTTTTTAGCCTTTCTGTCTTGTAAAGTAACTGACTGATAGATAGACGCACATGACAACTACAGTAACCCTCGCTGCGCATGCGAGCCGAGGGTTAACGAGTGTTAATTGGTCACACCCACTTACAAAAGTAAATAAGAAAATGAATAATATACGGATGGCATAAAAAGCGAGGAGACAAGACTAGTGACCGCTCTGGGAAAATGCAAAATTGCGTTGCGCATATCATTCGAAAGCGCAACGCTCACTGCATAGAACGAAGAAAACCACACTTTCGTAGGTGCTACCGTTCAAGCGCTATACACAATAACGCGCTCACCCGGTACCTTCCACGCGCGTTATGTGCGGACATTTTATAATGCAATACACGCGGAGGCAACGCCCTCAACTACGAGGGGACGCTGCTGGCGCTATATACGAGCAGCAGATTGATGTGGTTCCAATGCGAAAACGCTTGTCTCCCTTGATGCTAGGTCATTTTCACCTGTGTCATAAAGTATATTTGCCAAAACCATCGAGTTTTTTGCTATATACGCGCATAGCTGAAAATATATATTTGCGCGGAGTGGTACCTTTTCCCAGAGCGGGTCACATCAATAAAAGAGGCATATTGTAGTGATGGTATAAAAAGAAAGGGAGACAAGATAGGGATGAGATACATGAAACATGATTAATGAACTATTTGAGCACGCTGACACCCCCAACCCCATCACACAATCCCTATATTGTTGCCTGGTGAGCCTCTCCATTTGTTCTCTTGGTTACTCAGTAGCATGAATTTGTCGTGTTTTCAAGTTAGACTATTGTGTGATGTTGAATGTTTAAAACTTCACCTAGGCAACATTATAGTTATTGTGTGGTGGGATTAGGGGTGTCCGCGGGCTGAAATCTGTTCATTAACAACGCTTCATCCCTATATACCGTCCCTATATGCCTCTTTCAAATTAGCAGGATTTTTTATTTACTTGTCTCCATTTGTTTTTATATACTACTAGGAATGCGCACGCGCATATTTTGCCTCGCGCCTGCCAGCCAATGCATAAACCATCCGACTGTGGCCGCTCTTACGCGTGCTCTACTGACTGCGCACGAAGCCAGACTTCCTACAAATCTGTGAGCACGGGGGAAATTGACATTCCTAAGCGTGACTAATTGACATTCTTCAGCGTGACGGACACGTACGCATATCGCGAGAATACAACCCGGAGTAGTTGTCTCACGCTAACGCGCTCGGCAATGACGGAAGTTGACATATTTTGCCTCGCGCCTGCCAGCCAATGCGTAAACTGTCCGACTGAGGCCGCTCGTGCGCACGCTCTACTGACTGCACGCGAAGCTAGACTTCCTATGAATCTGCGCCCATGGCGGAAGCTAGACTTGTTACGAATGACGGAAGTTGACATTCCTAAGCGTGACTAATTGACAAATCCCTAAGTGTGACTAATTGGCATTTCCTTCTTAAGCGTGACCGACACGTACGTACGCATATCGCGAGAATACAACCCGGAGTAGTAGCCTCGTGCTAATGCGCTCGGGAATAATTCCTGTTGTCGTCATGGAATGATGTAATACTCATTTATACCAAGTTTCATCTCCATGTGTGTTGCCGTTAGTAAGTTTGAGGAGTGAAGAAGTATATGCCTGAGGCTATTTGTTGTTGTTCAAATGATATGTTGTTGTCGTGGAAAACATGCTAACTGTGGCACGCATGGAGGTGAAACTTGGTGCGCATGTGTATTACATCGTTTCCATGACGACCACAACAACAAATAGCCGCAGGCACTTTTGTTTAAAATTACTTCTGCACTCCTCAAACTTGCTAACTGTAGCACGCATGGAGGTGAAACTTGGTGTGCATGTGTATTACCACGACGACCACAACAACAAATAGCCTCAGGCACTTTTCTTCTTCACTCCTCAAACTTGCTAACGGTAGCACTCGTGGAGATGAAACTTAGTCAGAATGCGTATGACATCATTTCCATAACAACCACAACAACAACAAATAGCCTCAGGCATTTACTTATTCATTCTACAAACTTGCTAACGGCGGCGGCACACATGGAGATGAAACTTGGTACACATGCGTATTACATCGTTTCCATGACGACAACAACCATTTTTCGCTGTAATTAATTTTTATAGGGGACTTGCCCCCTTTCACAGATATATTATACGTAGTTGTATATAAAACTGAGTGGAGACAAAAAATCCTGCGAATTTAGAATAAGAGGCATATATAAAAAGAAAGGGAGACAAGATAGGGATGGGATACATGAAGCATGGGTAATGGACAGATTTTAGCACACTGACACCCCCAACCCCATCACACAATCCCTATGTTGTTGCCTGGGTGAAGCATTAAACATTCAACATTGCACAATAGTCCAGTTTGAAAATACGAAAAAGTGATGCTACTAAGTAACCAAGAGTACAAGTGGAGTGGCACACCAGCGTGCTAAAATCTGTTCATTAACCATGCTTCATGTATCCCATCCCTATCTTGTCTCCCTTTCTTTTTATACCATCCCTATATGCCTCTTTTTTTTATTCGCAAGATTTTTGATTTACTTGTATAATGTTGCAGTGCCAAGACAGGACAGCATGAGCCCTGTCTGGGTACTGCAACAGATTTGTTGGATATCCCTAGGCAAGCGACATGTATGAACCCTTCTTGCACATGTAGGATTGTATAGGCTGATACAATCCTCTCTTCATTCATGTCAGTTGCCTAGGGATATGCAACAAGTACTTATTGAACAGGAGTTTATATAAGTTGTTGGCTAATGCATGAAGCATAGCAACTTGCCACAAAATTACTCGCGAAGTCCTTGAGTGGACAAGTGGAAAAAGTACCCTGGCTGTTTGTTCATCAAGGATCCTTGGTCTGCACATATCAAATTGTGCAGTAAGCATTTGAATGCTCTTTGTATATATGTGTAGGTCAGGAGTTGGTAGCCATTTTGGCACCTTTGCTGGTCCTGTAACATCGTTTAGTGCTCTTGAAAAGCCACAGGAAAAGTACAGACCTTCAGGGAAGAACTTTCTAACAAACCCTGGAAAAAATGGAAGTGGATATGGGTAAGAAATTTATTTTATTCTTACTAAATGTAGCATGTAGTGTACTGTAGCTGCAATAATAGCAAAAACGATAATTTGGCAACTGTATATTAAAAATGCTTTAAAATAATACAGTGGGAGAGTTGTTGCATACATCGAAGACAATGACGTAGACCGCCGGGCCAACTATGCTCTACTGATGCTGTAAAAAATGCTTTAAAAGTAGTGGGACAGTGCGCTCGTTTATCGAATGTGGTGGCATGGACTGCTCCGTGCAAGATCATGCGCGAAGCTCAGCTATGACAAAAACACATGTGTTTCAGTCGTAGAATGAAAATAGCCAACCATGCCACAGTAAACAAAACATGCTGTAACTTTTTAGGTAAACAAGAAAACGGTTTATTAACTTTTCACACCCAATCTCTTGTTCTTTGCATGTCATACCACAAGATGCAAGATTATGAAGTGCGGACAGACGGACTGACAGACTTACAAACCATGTACTGAAACCCTTGCTGCGCATGCGCGCCGAGGGTTAATTAGGTTGTTGCGAAGCAATTTTGCAAGTAGTATAAAGCAAAATTTGATATTAGGGTTGTGTTCTCCGTACCTTTAAAGCCTGGCTACAAACATGTTTACAAAGTTTCAACTGCTACTTTTAACATTACTCATTTATTATTTTAATAATGTCTGGAGAAGTCAGCCTTGTATGAAATTCGTCTCAAATGAGCTACTATTCACCTCGCACCCAGACCATTTTGGTGGTAAAAAAACACTGGAAACCAATATTGACGCATACGTACAGAATTCAGTAAAATGTTTGCAAAGCACGTATTGCTGAGAATGCGGTGGAGTCCAGAGTAGTGTCTTCCTACATCACTAAGTACAGTAGTACCTAGTGTACAGGGATGACACAGGTTGTCCTGCATTATGCCCATACATTTGAAATTTGTAGGTTTCGCTGTCAGTTTCAATCACATCCGACTTCTGCATATCAGTCTGATCCATATCGTCAAAGAAGCATGTACGCAAGGAATGGCTTTAATCGTATAAGTGGTAATTAACCCTCAGCACGCATGCGCAGCGAGGGTTACGGTAGTTGGGTCTGTCTGTGTGTCTGTGTGTCTGTGTGTCTGTCTGTCTGTCTGTCTGTTACTCGTCATCTCACTTCTCGAGTGTTGGTTCGTCTCACAAAGGATACCACCTACTGAACGGGCAATGATGATCAGAAATTTCGAACGGTTTTCTCTCCGTTGCAAAGCTTGAGCGCGAAAAAGCCAATATGCAAATACACTACGGCATGATCGATGTGAGTGCTCTGCGTACCTCGGAGGCACCAGAAGATGAAACACAGGGCGTGTATCGCCTCTCGCATGCTATCTAGTTTAGCCCGCGTCAGACTCTGCACGAGCTGGCAAGAGAGCACGATCGAGTAACAGCTAAAGCTAAACCCAGCCCACCAATTAGTGTTACGGCGCATGCGTTTACTTACGCGTGCTCGTCACAGTGCGCCGAGGGTTTGCACTTCAGTGCTTTTCATTTTTTTCTTTAAGACAAACAAGAACAATGTTATTTACAACAAAATAACAACAAAAATAGCCCCAGACCATACATTATGATAAGGACCAATAAAGTATGCTAACTAATACCCAGAGTGATAAAACTTTGTACACATACAGTATGCTACCGATTAGTATCATAATGTGAAACATTACAAGTTTGTAAACAAACAGCCTCAGGCAATAAAAACTTGTAAATTGTATTGGTGCCTACAACTTGCTTATGCTGGGTCCTCTAACAATGAAACTTTGTTCACTTGTGTACTTTGGAGGTGAAAGAAACATGTGAACTACGACAAACAGTACCCTTAATGTTACTTTCAAAACATATATTGCACACCATGAATGTGAATGCAGTAAAAAAGGAAAGGAGACAAGTAAATTCTTCAAATTAATCAAGTGTGAAATATAGGGATGCCATAATAATCAAGAAGAAAAGACTAGTAGTACAATTGATCGTGGTTGTATCTTCAAACTGACATTTCTTGCTCATGTGAATTTTCTTCCACACAAGCCCTATATTGTCGCCACTCTTGCACATGACATGAGTTTGTTTAGTTAATTATGTACCAGGGTTCTCGCTAAACCACGGAAGAGTGGTGCAGCACCGCGCTATAGTTACACTCCGCCGCTCTATTGCAACAGCCCGACTCTGTATGCACACGAGCTGGAATAATAATTATTTTAGTAAGTACTACGTTTCCACAACTGAACCACTCTGGTCACATGCTGTGCTCAAGGAAGTAGCAAGGAAGGAAGTAGCTTAGCTATGTATTGTGTTTTAAACATGTTGTTAGTTAACCATATTTGCCTCAAATTCACCCAGATTCAATCTCTGAGAGTCCAAATGTAACATTTTCCTGGGAGACCATGCCCCCAGACCCCCCTAGGTGATGGATAGCACCACTCTGTGATTTTTTATACCTAGAACACTGATGTAGTGTAAACAAGGGATTCTGTATAGAAAGCAGGATGGTATAACTCGTTAAGTGAGCAAACATTGAACTCTTAGACTACGAAGTACAGTCACAGTCCTAACTGAGGACCTATTAGGCACCAGTCTTACGTGCATAGTAAACGAGTCAGAGCTGCATATCACCTGATACAGATCACTCGTGCTATTCAACAATATGGGGCTTGTGTGAAGTAAAATTTACACGAGCAAGAAATGTCAGTTTGAAGATGAAACCATCATCCCATTGTACTAATGCATCACATGCACTAGGTCAACCCTGTCTTGCCTCCTTGCTTTTTATGGCATCCCTATATTCCATACTTTTTTAATTCGAAGAATTTTTTATTTACTTGTTCACAATGTTTGATTTACTTCTTACACTTTTTGCTGCATCCACATGCTCATCCAGCGTATCTGCCCACCCAAACAACGACACTTGCAGCAGCTCTTCCATGCAACGGAACTTGGCGATTGCAAGCCATCTCAACTCCTGCGGCGAATGAGACAACTCCTCCGCGAAATGGTTATTGGCTCGGACGGCCCCCTACTGCTTCCTTCAGTGCTTACCCCGGAATATATGCATGGTAATGGTATTCACATCCTGTACCGAGGAAAAGAGCCTGGAGGATGTGGCACTACTCGCCAACAGGGTAGTCGACGTTGCCTTCGTCTGTTTCAGCACTCACCCACCAACTCAACACTGTGAAGTCCCTGCGCACAAGGGTTAAGGGTTAAAAACCTTAGGCAACAGCTTTCTGACATCACACAGGAACGACCTCGACCACGTTCACCGTCACCACGCTGTAGGCCACGTCCACCAGGAACCCCACCTCCTACTGCACACCTTTGCTGGTACCACGCTCGATTTGGAGACAGAGCTCGCAACTGCACGCCACCATGTTGGAAGTCGGAAACTCCCCAAACTTCTCGGCCAGTCGTTGATGGCGACAAATCCCACTGGCCTAAACCCGTGTCGCCTACTGTTTGTCACTGACAAGTCCACTCACCTCCGGTTTCTAGTAGCCACTGGGGCATCATTCCACCTTCACCTTCCAACCGTAAATTTATGTATTCCACACTTACATTGCAAGCAGTCAATAACACCTCCATACAGACGTACGACACCCGTTCGCTGACCCTCACCCTCGGCCTTCATCGAAAATTTTGTTGGGTTTCATCATCGCGGATAGAGGGACTCTGATTTTTGGCGCTGATTTCCGACGACGCTTACCACCGATTGTCAGATTCCACGACCACTCTGGCAGTCAGAGGAAGTAGCAGTGAAGGAGTATCAGCCAGCCCCGCCCTGCTTCCAAGGAAAGGAACCCAGGTAACCCTTACGAGGCACTCCTTGTTGAGTTACCTGTCATCACGCACCTAAGCTGTTTAGTGCGGAGCAACCTAAAGTTGCACTTGATGAGTTTGAGCACATGCTTGAGTTGGGGATCATCAGACCATCGGCCTGCAGCTGGGCTTCTCCCCTTCACAAGAAAACACTGGGTGACTGGCATCCCCGCAGTGACTACCGTGCCCTGAACAGAGCCGCAATCCAAGACCGCTACCCCATCCCACATATTCACGATTTCCACCATCAACACTCTGGATGCAAGGTCCAATCAACTGCACATCGACATTGTCGGCCCGCTTCCTCCCTCCTGCGGATACTCCTACCTATTAACCTGTATTGACCGTTTCACACGTTGGCCCGAAGCCTTCACCATGGCTGACATCACTGCAGAAATGGTAGCCCTCACATTTGTGAGCGGGTGGGTTGCCTGATTTGGAGTGCCATCCTCAGTCACTACGGAATGCGGTCGCCACTTGATGCAGCTGTTGGGATGCAAACATTTCCGGACTACTGCTTACCATCCAATTTCGAACGGGATGGTGAAGAGATTTCATCGCCAGCTCACAATGTCCCTCCAAACATTGGGTGGAGTCACTGCCACTGGTCCTACTCACAGTGCAGTCCAGCGGAGTTAGTCTGTGGCACGACCCTCCGCCTCCCTTGAGACTTCTTCCTAGCCAACGCTCCTTCCACACTCCTTTCAGAGAGGTCATGCACAAACTGAAACCAACACCAGTGTGACCACAGCCTCAGCGCAATGTCTACATCAGCGACACTCTCTCTTCATGCACTCATTGTTCGTCCGTCGTGAGCCCCCGTAGCCACCGTATGATTGTCCCTATCGGGTCTTAGATAGAGCCGACAAGTATTACACTCTGGACCACAGTGGGCATTGCGAAACCGTTTCACTTCACGGGGGGGGGGGTGATGGGATACATGAAGCATGGTTAATGAACAGATTTGAGCATGCTGACACCTCCGACCCCATCACACAATCCCTATATTGTTGCCTGGTGTGCTACTTTTATAGGGAATGTGGCATTATATAAAGGCTAAAGATAACTAAAATGAAGCATTCTTTCACCGTCCCACGTTGTTTTTAGTAACATTTATACTGCCACAGTCCTATTAATTAAACTCCACTTTAACAGTGTTGGTTACTCAGTACCATGACTTTTTTGTATAGTCCTGAGTATTGTAATGGTGAATGTTTAATACTTCACCTAGGCAACAATATAGGGATTGTGTGATAAGGTTGGGGGTGTCAGCGTGCTCAAATCTGTTCATTAACCATGCTTCATGTATCCCATCCTTATCTTGTCTCCCTTTCTGTTTACCCCTATATGCCTTTTTTTAATTCGCAGCATTTTTAATTTACTTGTCTCTGCTATATTATTATGTGAAAGGGGGCAAGCCCCTATAAAAAAATTAATAATAGAGAAAAATCCCTGTTGTCGTCATGGAAATGATGTAATATAAAAGCGTACCAAGTTTCATCTCATGTGTGCTGCCGTTAGCAAGTTTGAGGAGTGAAGAAGTAAATGCCTGAGGCTATTTGTAGTTTTTCAGATAATATGTGGTTGTCATGGAAACGATGTCATACACATTCGTACCAAGTTTCATCTCCATCAGTGCTACCGTTAGCAAGTTTGAGGAGAAGTACCTGAAGCTATTTGAACAATATGTAGTTGTCATGGAAATGATGTAATACGGATGTGTACCATGTTTCACCTCCGTGCGTGCTGCAGTTGCAAGTTTGATGAGTTAAGAAGTAGTTTTAGTGAGGCTATTTGTTGTTGTGGTTGTCATGAAAACGATGTAATACCCATGCACACCACGTTTCACCTCCATGTGTGCTACAGTTAACAAGTTTGGGGAGTGAAGAAGTGAAA